TGATGACAGGGTAGGATGACCCTGCAGCTACGCAAACAGGCGCTCAAGCCGCCACAGGAACCTAGAGGATACCTCTCCCAGATGTCACCCCGAGAGCATGCTGACTGAGAAGCATAACTCTTGTAGGTAGGGAGGTCAGACAAAGGATTTGCTACAGAGAAAGAGCATGAAAACCACAGCTAACAGCTGCGGCCACAAGGATTTATAGATGCTACCTTCCTGTTTCATTAAAAAGTCACTTTTCCTGTCTTTGTGGCCACTTTCTTCATACCCACTTCAGAGATCAGGACACTGAGGCTTCGGTCTCACAGCTGGACTGAACCCAAAGCTCAATACACTAATAATCCCCACACTGCCCAGAGTGAGGTTCGTGCAGACAAGTGTGGAGACCAGGAGTGAATGGACAGGAGAGGGACAAGCTATGGAGACAGGAACCAGATTCTAAAGGAACCTGCAGGTCATGCTAAGCCCAATTATCACCCCAGGGTTCAGAGAGCCAAGATAAGCATCCAAAGCCCCAAAGGGTTTGATGGGCACCACACCTTAGCTCCACTCTGTAGAACAATGAAGAAAAAGGAAAACCACTCAAAGGCAGACCAAAGGCTAGGCTTTGGAATGAATGAGAGCGAAGGCCAGAACTCAGAGCTTCTCCTGCACTAAAACGGAGGCAGCGCGGCTCGGGATTCAGCCGGGGCGGGACACGGAAGACTTAATGAGAACATACTAAGTTGGTAACTGCGGCACAGGGATGCAGTTGATCAACTGGATATATTTATAAGGACAAATCACTGCAGAAGGAAAAAATAGCTCAGACAGGAAGATAAATGGCTAGTATGAATGTAAAGTTTAGCTTCACTGATAACTACAAATTAACTGCAAAATAACTAGTTTTCTTGTCCAGTAAATTCCAAAGACTCTTAAACACCCCATGAACTCCTTCTACGCTCTTTCTTCAGAGGCTGGGGATTCGTAGGGAGCCCTTGCAGACTTCACTCTGTGGGAAAGCAGCGGCTGCTGAATTGAGGGCTCACTGAAGAGCAGCCTAAGGCCAGCAGGAAATGAACCCAGTGGGACGGAGGTTGTCATTTCCTGCAGAATAACCAGTATATAGATATTCTCACTTTCCCTACAATGGCCCTTTGAGGGATGCAGGGTCACCCCCATTTTGGAAACTGGGGCAGTACTGTAAATTAAAAATTAAAAAAAACAAAAACAAAAACAGCTTTCTGTGGTTCAGTCGGTAAAAGGTAGAGGCATGATTAAACCCCACGTGTCAGTGTCCTTGCAGTGAGGGACGGGCACGTATTCCACAGTGTAAATGACTCTTAGGATCCCAGTTCTGTGAGAGTGGGTCCTACTCAGGGACAGATGGGCCCTCGGCGCACAGTGCTTCCACAGGACAGCCCAGTGTCCCGAAAAGGTCAACGTCAGCTGCCACCTACCAGCCTTACCTCTCAGAGACTCCTGTTCCTGTTGTATGGTCAGCCATGAGAGCACAAGCCCCACTCTCCTTTGGGGTTCTCATAGGTAGAAAGGATGACACCATCTTCTGGGATACTATTTTAAAGTCTTTGTCCACAAAAGAAATGTTTCTAAAACACAAGCCCCAGGTCCAGAAATCCCCTTCGACTCCAGCAGCCGGTGGGAAGCCAGCCTTGGCTATGCCCTGACAGGGCTTGTTACGGACTCCCTCCAAGTTTCGTTCTGCTTTTCAGAAACCCTGCCTATTTCATCCTTTCAAATACTCTTCTGAAAAGCACTCATTTGAAAAGTGTGCCTTCCTTACACCAGGAACAGAACATTCTTATCATTAGCGGGTCAAGACCAAGATAAGTATGTCCAAGCAAACATGTTCACTGTTTTCCTGTGTCGTTTGCCGGCACCCATAGCATAGAGCCCACCCCAGCCCTGCTTCTTCTTCTTCTTCTTCCCCATATCTCCATAACATATCACTCTTTGTTACGATGGGACATTAACCCTCAGACCTATCCCCGTATCTGAGTTTTCTCTCTATGGCTGTGATAAAACACCATGACCAAAAGCAGCCTGAGGAGGAAAAGGTTTATTTCATTTCATCCCTGAGAGAAGTCAGAGTAAGAACTAAAGCAGGAAGCTGGAGCCAGGAACTGGGGAAGGGGTCACTGGGCACGCTGCTCACTGGCTTGCTCACTGTGGCTCGCTCGGCCTGCTTCCTTGTACAACCCCAGATCATCTTCCCCGGGGTGCACGACCCACCACGGGCTGATCCCTCCCACCTTAGTGCCAGCTGAGAAAATGACTCACAAAGTTGCCTACAGGTCAATCTGATGGAGGCTTTTTCTCAATCTCGATTCCTCTTCCCAGATGACCCTGGCTTGTGTCAAGTTGAAAGAGGAAAAAAAAAGAAAAACCAACTAACCAGTGCACCCCTTCTTTGAGTATGCATTTTACACACACACACACACACACACACACAGAAGACACAAATAATATATATATATTTACACACATGCGTACGTTCACAGGAGAAGACGTACATATATGCACACAGAAGAATATGAATATCTAATAAAATACACATGCTGTCCCCCTATTAACCTGCCCCGCTTGACCATCAGGCCCAGGCTCCGTTTCCAACATCCACATAGGTGCAGAATGTTGCAGAAAATAATTCATTAAACACAACAATAATTTTCTGTTCACTACAACACTGTTAAAAATTTATTATAAACACTACCATTTTTTTCTATGCTTTGGGAGAAGGGAGTCCAAAATCAAACGCAAAAGGCCAAGCTGGCACAGTCCCTGTGGAACCAGCCCTCCCCACACCACCATGTATAGCTTTTCAGACAGCACAGCACAGGTAAGAGGACCCTCAGAGACCACCTAAGACCAAGCAGGTCCAGCCTCACCCAGCAGACTACTAACAACACAGAGTAGCCATGAATGTGGCCCAGTACAGTTACAGGCCACACACCATGTCGCAGAGTCAAAATGTCACACACACAGAAAAAGGCACTCTGCTGCTGAAAGGTGGCAAGGACTGATTGGTGTAAGAAACACTTCCAGTGTCACCCCTGGGAACAGTTTTAACCGTGAGTACCACTTCAGATCTGGTCTGAATGCAGCTCTCTGCCCCTAACTCAAGACCCTCGGTTTCTTTCCCTAGAAAGTGGAGTTGCAAACAAGGACACCGGCCCTTCAGGGCTTATGAAAGAGTAAAAGCCATATCCTGTGTAACAGGCTGAGGGTTCAGAACATCTTAACTAATTCGCCATGACTGAACATCAGGAAAAGTGACGTCACACACGTGCAGGTACAAAGTCCTCCTCATCCTACTCTGTCATCTCCACAGCAACATGACAGCACGTGATTACTTGATCTCATGTTGAGGAAATCAGTATTCAGGGAAGTGTAAGTAGTTGTCCACGGCTACACAGGTGAGGAGGCAGAGCCAGAACTGAGAAGAACGTCTTCGCTCTTCTTCATTCTGGTTAGGAAATGAAGACAAATGAGGAGGCACTTCAGGTAGGCCCTCCGTGTAGGAAGTGACCAGTACAAAACTGGATCAGGTCTGTGTGTGACCCTGGATGATCACTAAAGATGCGTCAAGGAGTCTGGGGATATATCTCAGTGACCAGACATGTGCTTAGCATGTGTGAGGCCCTGGGTTCAATCACACATACATACAAAGGAAGATAGATGATACAAGGTGGGGGAGAAACCTATAGGGGAAAGATGACCAACAGTACGTGTCAGGCTCCTCAATTTCCTTTAGCAAATAAACAGAGGTGGCACTGTGACCTACGTCCAGACCCTGTGCTGAGCCCACAGCCTCGAGTTGCACACTGCAGTTTCATGCTGCGGTATCAATGGATGACGTCCCCCTGACTTTGCCACCTTTGGCCACGTCCTGGAAAGTGCTCCAAAACAAAGAGCAAATTCAGGAAAGTCATGGGAAGTGTTTGATTTTCTTGCTTCATGACAGGAAGGCATGCTGGGAGATTTGGGCTAACTAAAGCGGTGGTCCAAGATGTTACATCAAGTTCTGTTGTGGCACAGCACGCGCACACACACACACACACACACACACACACACACACACACACAGAGAGAGAGAGAGAGAGCTAGGATGTTGTCCTTGGTCACACGGCACTTTCTCTGGTCTGGAAACCACACACTTTTGTGTTCTCGGGGATGGGGAACCTTCACGCTGCTCACATTTTGATCCATGTATCAGGCTGGGCAGCTGAAGAACAGCAGAAGGAAAAAACAGAACAGGGTAGGGGTGGGAGGTGAACTTTCCCAGTGGGTTGGAAACAGTCTTCCCGCGGAAGGTCCTCAACCCTGTGGCTAACTAAGGCTAACTCAGAACACTTAATGAACCAGGACTTGGTGGAAGAATGCCGCCAAAGAGCGGTGGACTGTGAGTACGCGTTCACACGTGAGCCTAAGTATGAGTTCACATGAGAGCACAGGAGGTTCAAGGTTCCACATATTTCCATCCGATGAACTTTTCCAACTGTAGTCACTGTCACCCAGAGCTAGCTCCCCAGAAAACTCATTCCTACAGGGCTACCTGTGGACCCAGAAGTTTTTGTGTTTCCAGGACCAAAGGCTGCGAGCTCTCCGCACCTCCTCCTCTTCCCAAACACAGTGCCCCTCACCCATGCCGGGCCACTCCTTTTCAGCCCGTGGCCCCCCACAGGCCGCGGGCTGCCCTGACCCAAGGCTCGGAGCACCCTGCTCCGCTTGCCATCCCCATCCTTCGGCACACCGCCGCGCGCTCCCTGCCCAGCTCCTTCCAGGCGGGCGCCCGCCAGCAGCAGTGTAGGCAAGGAGGCTGTGCCCAATGCACGTTGCATAGTCTCCCACCCCGATGCCTTGGCCAAAGGAACAAAAAGGAAGCCGACGCCAGGAAGAGACGAGCGGGCTAAGGATGCGGCGGGACCGCGGCGGGCTCCACGCCTCTGCGCACCCGGCGGGCGGAGCTCGCATGCGGCCCGCAGCCGAGCGGTTACCTTGAGGATGCAGGCCATGGCGCTACGGATCGACCCTGTGGCTTGCTGCACCTCGGCCCCGCAGCGGGACCACTCCAGCCCACATTCCCGCAGAGCGAGCCGGGCCCGCGGGAGCTGCGCGCCCAGGCCCCACCCCCGAGCCCCGCCACTGGCTGGCGCCGCACGAGGCCCCGCCCTGAGTCACGTGTCCTCCGTGCGGCCCGCAACTGCCTGCTACTCCGCTGCTGCTGCTGCTACTACTTGGCTTTTTTTTTTTTTTTAAACCCCTTCTGCAGATGAAGGTTTGCAAAGCCCGGCCTGGAGCAGACCCGGATCTTCGCACCCCGAGGATAGAAGGTGGCCCTTCCAGCTGCGCTAGTCCACCAGGGAACCCGCAGATGTGCGCTTCCCAAAAAGTTAGCGGCTGCTGCGTTTGGCACCGTCCTGCTAGAGGCGTGCGGCCCCTCCAAGGATTCTTCGAAAGCAGCTGGAAGTGCCCCGGGCTAGCCTTTGGCACTGCAGAATTCTGTGGATGGCTTCTCTTGCCATGACTGATTGGCTGTCCGTCGGAAAGCCCAGACAGCTAGAGAAGCAGAAAGGCTGGACACTTCTGGTCTACAGGAAAGAAGCCATAGTCCTCACACGATGTGGCGTGTGCACAACATGTGTCGCATACGCGCACATAAACAAATGCAGTTGTGAATGTTGTATCCTGTTGCAAGGGTGTTAGTAAAATGTCTATATACATAAAGAAACAGTGTGCACTGATTAGCTACATACGTACAGAGTGAGACATACACCGGACTTTGGTACTCACTGCTAAAGTCTTAGAATTTAGGAGAACTTGGTTACAATTTCAACAACCAAGTTATATATTAGCTTTCCTCTTAAGTTTGAAAATCTAAGAAGGTCCTTTTCAACCATCCAACCGGGACTGTCACATGTTAAAACAAAGGGCACTCTGGCAGCTTTACCCAAGAGGCAAACAGGTCCCTGGTCCTCTCCGGGTCCTAAGTGGGCCCTCTGTATGTGACAGACGGCAAGGAAAGGATGCCTTCCCAAACCAACACTGCTAACAGAACACTCATTTCTACAAGGATATGCCCAGAGGGCACGGATTTCTGCACCCCAGTAGTGAAAGACCAAAACATGTACTACAAAGAATGCCCTAGTTAGCTGGCCCACGTGGAGTCAGGAAAAGCACATGAGCTGATAAGTGACTGGGGGTCATGAGATGGCTCTCACACCATCACACAGGAACCAAGTGTTCACAGGAGTTGGCCATGTTGTTGATGAGAACATTGAATACTCTGAGAGACCTGGGAAGAACCACAGGAAAGAGGCTGGAAGGCTAGAGCCCTGTTCAAACTGCCTGCTTGCAGGCAAGCTCTGTCTGTCTCCAGGGAGACACTGTCTGCTGCAACTCCGCCCCTTCCTCTGCCTTGGAGGACACATGTATTTTATAAGAAAGTTTGATGAAGATCACATACTTTAAGCTGCTGCTGTAACAAATGGTCTTAGCAGGTGTGCTGGCTAACTCACGTCGACTTCACATAAGCTAGAGTCACTAGAGAGGAGGAAGCCTCAACTGAGAAAATAACTCTGTAAGGTCAGGCTGTAAGCAAGCCTGTAAGGCATTTTCTTAATTAGTGATTGATGTGGGACCATCCCTGAGCTGGTGGTCCTGGGTTTTATAAGAAAACAGGCTGAGCAAGCCATGATGCGCAAGCCAGGAAGCAGTAACTCCTCCATGGCCTCTGCATCAGCTCCTGCCCCCAGGTTCCTGCCCTTTCCCAAAGTTGATTTGGTCATGGTGTTCCATCACAGCAATAGTGACCCTAACTAAGACAGCAGGCCAGGAAAACACAAGTAGCAGCATATGGATTTGAAAAGGTTATATTTAGGGGGAAATATATATATAATATATACATATATTCATATAATAACGATTAATTAAAAAAGAAGCCATGAATCTGAAGGCAGCAGGGGAAGGTACATAGGATGGTTTAGAGTGAGGGAAGAGAAGGGAGAAATGTTGTAATTATAATCTCAAAAATAAAAAAGTACCCCCCCCCAAAAAAAAGAGAGAGGCAAAGATGGTTTGAGCACCACCCTTCCAGAAAATCTGCAGGACATCCAGGAAGGGTCAGCAGACTGGTGACCTTTGCTTGGTAACTTCGACCCAGCCTCTTCTCTTCAGTCTCTATATGGCAGTACACATAGTCTTAGCAGAGTTAAATGAACTAACAAATGTGAGCTCATTCACCTCAGTTCCTGGCACAATGGCCACTTTTTTTTTTTTTTTTTTTTTTTTTTTTTTTTTTTTGGTTTTTCCGAGACAGGGTTTCTCTGTGTAGCTTTGCGCCTTTCCTGGGACTCACTTGGTAGCCCAGGCTGGCCTCGAACTCACAGAGATCCGCCTGCCTCTGCCTCCCGAGTGCTGGGATTAAAGGCGTGCGCCACCACCGCCCGGCTCACAATGGCCACTTTTAAATGATAACAAGTTATTTAAAGGAGAAAACTTTCACTGAAGATAGATCACAGTGGAGCCAGAGAATGGTTTTGGCTATCCTTGGGTGTCTCAGAAGGATGCTGCTGACAGAGCAGTTAACACACATGATGGGCAAGGATGTGGTGTCTTAGTCAGAGTTTCTATTGCTGTGAAGACACACCATGACCACTGCAACTCTTTTTTATTTCATTAATATTTTTTCATTTATTTTACATACCAACCACAGTTTACCCTCCTTCCTCTCCTCTCATTTCCTTCCTCCCCCACTCCCAACTCCCATCTACCCTCCCCTGCCCCCGACTCCCATCTACCCTCCCCCCATCCCCATCCACTCCTCCTTGCCTCCATTCAGAAAGAGGCAGGCCTCCCATGGACTTGAACAAAGCATGGAACATCAAGTTGAGGTAGGTTCCAGCTCCTCCCCCTGCATCAAGGCTGGGCAGAGTAATCCAGCATGGGGAACGGGTTCCCAAAAGCCAGCTAAGTGCCAGGGACAGATCCTGATCTCACTGCTAGGAGCCTTACAAACAGACCAAGCTACACAACTGTGACACACATGCAGAGGGCCTAGGTTGGTCCCATGCAGAACCCACAGAGACAGCTGACCTGAGCTCATGGGACCACTGCAACTCTTATAAAGAAAACATTTAACTGGGGCTGGCTTACAGTTTCAGAGGTTTAATCGATTATCATCATGGTGGGGAGCATGGCAGCATGCAGGCAGACATGGTGCTGACTATATCTTGGTTTGTAGGCAACAGGAAGTCGACTGACTCACTGGACGGTATCCTGAGCATAGGAAACCTCAAAGCCCACCCCCATAATGACACACTTCCCCCAGATAGGCCATGCCCAATCCAACAAAGGTACACCTCCTAATAGTGCCACTCCCTGTGAGATTATAGGGGCCAATGACAGTCAAACTACCACTCATGGTGAGGGTTTTCCTAACTCCATCCACCCACCCTGACAAGGCTTTTCCAACTGGACACCCAACCACCACCTCCATGATTGCCAACGTGTTACTTTTCTCTGTGTGTGTGTGCATTTGTGTGCATGTCCATGTATGTATGCATGTTGATGCAAAGTGTCTTCTTCACTCCATGCCTTATAATGAGGCAAGATCTCTCACTGAAGGTGGAGCTCACCAATTCAGTGAGGATGGCAGTCAGCAACACCCTGGCTCTATGCTCCCAGAGTGGGAGTACAGACAGGCAGCACCAGGCCTGGATTTTTGTGGTGGTTCTGGGGTTCCAAACTCATGTCTTTGTGTTTGCATAGCAGGCATTTGACCTTGCTATCCCTCCTCCAGCCTCCAAATGTTGAGTTTTTACCAACATTCATAAGTTATAACCAACAAGTACAGCAAGGAGGAGGAGTTCACTTATTATAATCTAAGAGCAAGAAATGCTAGGAAAAACCCAAACTAGAATTTTATAAAATAGGATTAACAACTGCTGCTTTGGGAGGAACTACCCTAGAAAAGCTTTTGGTTAGAAATAAGAAAAGGTTCTGAATCTACCAGGGAATGGAGGTGCTGCCAGATTGGTAGGGGGCGGGTGGGTAGGAGAGTGTAGTCAGGTTATTTTTGTTTTAAACTGGGCCAAACATCAAGAATAGCTTGGGCTAGTCTATAGGTATAATCAGATTTTCTAACTATTTAAGTTATGTAACTTAAATCCAAGATTGCCTGTTTCCAAAGTTAATAATAAAACAAAAGCCCCTTTCAGTCAGATGTCCTACCTAATTTGACCCAGAGACACCGACAGACAGGGTGTTGAACTTAGAAGTCAGCCATCTTACCTACCACATCCAGTTGGCCAGTGTGAGGAGTTTGGCACTCTTTGGGTTTAGAATATCATCTTGGGTTTGATCATGAGAAAACCTTGGATTAGTGTCTATACCTTCTAAGATGCTGAGATGGTTGGTTAATCTTCATTGTCAACGTGACTGGATTTGGAGTCTTCATGGGTATGTCTAGAGGGAATTTCCAGGCAAGTTGAAGCTAGAAAGGAAGAGCCACCATGAGTTAGCCAGCATCATCCCGTAGGGTAAGGTTCCAGAACGAACAACAATGAAAAGGTAGCTTTGGATACTGGCAGGTGTCTCTGCTTCTTGACTAGGGACACCATGTGACCAACTGCTTCATGCCGCCGCTGCTGCCTTGGCTTCCACACCATATGGACGTTGCCCTCAAACCGAGGGCCAGATTGAACCCTTTCTTCCCTAAACTACGTTTTTTTCACAGATGTTTCGTCACAGTAACTAAGCAACTATAACAGGTCCACAAGAGATCCACATGAGGCAGGTGAGCACGGGAGTGAATGGATTCTAGCAACTGAAGGTGCACATCAGATGCTCATCTTGCTTTCCAACCCCCAACCCTTGGGAAACACATTATCATAGCACTTCATGTCCCAACTAGGTGTGATCCACCTCATGCTTTAGTTTGCTGTGATCAACACCATGACCAAAACCAACTCAGGGAAGAAAGAGTTTATTTGGCTTCCATATCCCCATCACAACCTGTCACTGAGAGAAGTCAGTACAGGAACTCAAGGCTAGATATATGAATGGGAGGAACGGGAGCATGCTGCCTACTGGCTTGCTCCTCAGGGAGCTTGCCTTCTTATTCAACCCA